ATATGAACTGCCTATTAAAGAGGAAACCAAATACATTCCAAGCAAGCTTGCAGGCAGAGTTCATTTACCTTGTTTGCCAAGTAAGATATTAGAGCCATAAGCCAGTCGGTATTACATATAGGTTTACATAGGGGTCCTTTTGTTAGTTAATTTTGAATAATTCCAGCAAATATTTGGTAGTAGCCAAAATAACAATAGTATCCTCATATACAAACTTCAGTAGTGTTATTTTTCAAGTTTTCCTTCATAATCTAAACAAAGTGTTTAAGAACCTCATTCTAAATTTCAATTTGAGGCCTTCTTAATCTGTAACTGAGTCCATACATGATTCACAGGTATTTTACTTTTTTTTTTATATATTTAAAGATTATTTTTATTTTTTATAATTGAGAAAGAAGAAATTTAACAGATTCACAGTTCTTTATGTTGTTCTTAAACTATAGTGGACTAAGTGGGTTTATTTTCATATTTTACCCCACATAGCTTCATCATAATTTAAAACTGGGAGAATTATCTTATTATCAGTGATTTTTTCAAAATGTTTTAAATTATTTGTCCAATTTTACATTTGTTATTATATTCTGTTTATCTATGATTTTCTACCATTCCCATAATTAGTTTGTTTGATCATGAGACAGTGGATATTTAAATAGAAATCTATTTTTGCTCTTCTTAATTCTTTGATGTTAATTAACCTACTTCATTATAAGACACATATAAAAAATATAAACTCAAACAATTATTTCAGCTGACCTAGCTAATAAACCAGAGTCATTTGTTATGTGAACTGACAAATCTGTCAGAGAATGTGTGCTGATTCAGTATTATAATTGCAATGGTCAAAATCAGGTTACAAAAATGCTAAACTTTCCAAAAATGTCAAATATGCAATTGTTAATACAGCAAACTCAGGTTCAAAAATTGTCAAACGTGCAACAAGTAAATGACCAATGTGCAAGCGTTATTATGGTCAAGTTCATGTTGGGTTTCAAAATTGCTAAATATGCAATCAATGTCATAGTAAAATTGGGTTTCAAAAATGACAGTAATGCTACTTTAAGGCGTGGCATATTTACAGTATGGGAAATGAACAATAGATACTGCAACAATTGTGATACGCAGAAGTAAACTTACAATGTGTTCAATATTTGATGGGTGGTCTCTGACTGCACAGAAATTACTTTCTGTTTTACAGCAACTATCCGGTGTACTTCTGTTGATCGCTAAACCTTGTACCGCCCAGTTACTGTGCGGCCAGTCTAGATACCAAGACGAACCACAACAATTGAACTAAAATCAATAAATAAACAAAGCATGAGCTGAATAAATTAGAAATATTAGTTATATCAAGTTCCAGTGATTATACATTCAGAATT